TAAAGCACTCGAGGCTAAACTAGCTGGAGATTCAGATCTGAAGTCGCAGTACACAGCCTTTATAAATGAATACCACGATCTCGATGTTGCAAAGGCGGTGGGCATAGCTTGGGACACTCTATCGGATAGTTTATTTCCAGCTTCTCAAGCCCGTGGACAGCCCAAACCGCAACCAAGTACAACATTTTTTTGGCAATAGCTAGATTCTTCGATCCACTTAGATTAATAACCCCGATCATCACCAAACTACAGATTTTTATGCAGGTCCTATGGATAGATAAGCTTGGCTGGGATGAATCGCTACGGCAATCTTTGCACTCGTCTTGGTAGGAGCACATGTCACAGATCACAACAGCTTCTTGTTTAAAATGTCCCCGCTTTGTCTTACAGCATAACTCATCTTGCAAAGTTCATGGACTTCGTAATGCCTGCTGGAACTGGCTGTACATCCACCATCTCCTTTTAAGCAGGTGGAAGCGAAAGTACTGGAATAGGCGTCGGCGCCAACATCTCCTCGTCGTCATCATCGTCGTCGTCATTCTCACCTTCAACTTCGTCGAGAACCCGTTCTTCAGGCCAACTTTCAAGTGGAAGAATCGGAATGGCCAAGTATACAGCTAGGCAGCATATTACTTATCAAGGAGCACCACTTACCCCCTTGCGGTGGCGCCTCGGCAGGGTGGACAGCACTGTCTCAGGAGATGACGGCGTCGATCGAGTTGAGGTGATCCGCACTTGCTTTGGATTTTGCAAGCGGGCAACAAAGGAATAAACTGTCCTGCCTTCGAAGTATGGCTCTTCCACTTCGCTTGGAAGTATGGCTCTTCCAACGGGGGAGTATGTCGGGATCAGTCATCTAGCTTATACTAAAATCATGACTTACAATTTGTTCAGCATTACTGTATGATGAAATATATTTTTTTTATCTATAAGTCAAGCCGAGAAAAGCGCTCGCGAGTTGTCGATCGCTTGAATCGTCTTATTATATTTCGTTCTCTATCGCTGTCAGCACGCAGTCGCAGCGCTGCTAAAATAAATCATAGAAAAAATCTGGTCTTTTCACACCGTTCACGGCACCGAATTTTTTTGTATAATGATAAGTTGTATAACATAAACCTAAAATCAGCTTGAAAACAATTATAAAATGATTATTATTTAGTTTAGTCTGCTGCTTGTCCCAGTTTGCTGGAAGCTGGGAGCAGGGAGCGGAGAGCAACAGCTGATCGCTTTCGCATTTTAGGACGATGCATGGGAGAACGAAAGCGGGAAGAGGACAAAGTCAGTCGTCTTCGGCAAGCGAGAGAACATGCACGTTGAATCTAGCGCGGGACGTCATTTACATATGTGCATAAATTAATAAACGTGAAATCTGTGAATTTATCTATTAGTGTTTTGCATTGCCCGGGAACCCCTCTTACAATGACCCTTTGTTAGCCAAATACAAGGGGACACAACTTAACATTGTGGCCCGTGAGGGGACCTGCAATCGAAAAACATAATAGAAAATTCTTAATTTTGTGTAAATGAACGCCGTTAGATCGCAACTGCGTTAAGTTCGCTAGTCGGCTCTGCATATCGCGGAAAGTGAAAAAGAGTAAACGGCGATACATAGACGCAGCAACAGAAGTTTCTGGATCTTTCTGGACGATTTCATCGCTTCTTTTGGGCTGGATTCGTGTGCATAACGGAATCGCAGTTGCACCTAGACTACAGACCGGCGGCGCAAGACGACAGTTTTTCGAACTTTGGAGATGGTCGTTGATCTTCGCTTCGTCTTGGGGTGGATTCTGGTATACATAACTGAGTAAGTAGACAAGTTGTGTGCGAAATAAAATTTACTGAGTTTTTCTATTAAAATATTATTTGGGGTGGTGAGTTGCGCGGGAAGTTCGGTTTTACACCGCATCATATGGCGCCGACTCCTAGTGCAACTGCAGACAGGGATAGCGTATCTCAACAGCGCAGGCAGCCAACGACAGACCAGAACCCCGGCGCATCTTACGGAGGCTATTCAGCAACGTCATCGGATCCGTCTTCGAGAAATGTCCTTCTCGCCACTGCTCGTATCATCGTGCGGAACCCGGTCAACGGACTGCACGCTGTCATAAATGGCCTGGTCGACCAAGGATCGGAAGCAACCATTGTCTCGGAGCACGTGGTACAGTCCTTGCATCTGAAGCGATCTGGCACCCGAACATCTATTTTTGGGATGGGTCTTGGGGGCGGTCGTCGGTGCAAGTATACTGTCAATTTTAAAATCCGTAGTAATGTTAACCCTGACTTTTCAGTAGACGTTGATTCCGCGTATGTCCTCAATTCGGTTACTTCTTGTCTTCCCTGTCGCAGCTTCATGCCTCAGCGTTAGAACCATATCCTCCCGCTGGCGGATCCGAACTTCTCACGATCGAAGCGAGTCGACCTCATCTTGGGTGTGGACCTGTTGGCGCAAATCATGTTGCCGGACACCAGGATCGGGCTGCCCAGCGAGCCTATAGCTCAGAACACTCACCTTGGGTGGATCCTATCTGGTTTGGCGGACGGAGTGCGGGAAGTGATCCAGGTTGGGTGTCATCGGGTGCTCTTGGACACCGAGGCTTTGCTCCAGCGTTTCTGCGAGGTGGAGGCCGTTCCGGACCATTCTCTCACATCGGGACCTCTGGTGCGAAGCCTTCCTTCAGAAGACACATACTCGGCGATCGGATGGCCGTTACGTGGTACGGTTGCCCTTCAAAACTTACATTGATCCAACTATGGTTCTGGGAAGATCGCATCAGATGGCGCTGAATAGGTTCTAGCAGTTGGAACGGCGTCTGTTGAGCAGTCCGGAGCGGTGAAGAAAGTATGTCGAGGAGATCGAGAAGTACTTTCCCCTCAAGCAGATAGCGCCGGCGGTGGGCAGTGAAAGCAGTTTGCTGATGCGTACTTCTACGGGTAGGCATGTGGCTTTCTGCGTGCTGCCGCATCATGCGGTTTTTAAGAAGGAGCCGCAGTCGCTTAAGCAACGAATCGTTTTCGACGCCTCAGCAAGGACTAGCAACGGAAGATCTCTAAATGACGTGTTGTGGACTGGGCCAGCCCTTCAGAACGACATGTCGCACGTCATACTGAATTGGCGGAAATATCGTTTCGTTGATGCATCGTTGTATAGATGTTCATCCGGAAGACGCCCAATACCAGCGGATTTTATGGCGGGCGGCGGATGGGTCCATCAGCGTTTTCGGGTTGTTAACGTTAACCTTTGGTACGGCGTCTGCACCATTCACGGCCATCAGGGTCATCCAGCAGTTGGCGAAGGACGAGCGCCGTTCGATTCCCAAGGCGGAAGAGGTGTTGATGAGCGAAATATATGTGGATGACATTCTTTCCGGAGGTCACACGTTGGAGGAGGCAAGGGATAAGCGGACACAAGTATCGGGGGCGATAAAATACGCGTGCATGGAGTTGCGGAAATGGTCTAGCAGTCCGAATAAGGACTGTTTTAAATTTTAAGTCAATTTTGAGATTCCAGCTAGGTTTACCAAACGGATGATTCTATCGAGCATAGCTAGGCTATTTCATCCACTGGGTATCATCGCACCAGTCATCATCGTGGGAAAGCTGATCTTAAAGGAGGTAACCATGGCAAAGAAAGTGCATGCGGATGGCACTCAGTCGGCGCAGGAGTGGGAAGACGAGGTTCCGGACGCCCTCGTAGAACGGTGGCGAACGTTTCGGGACGGGTTGATGAGGATCGACGACATAAGCATAGACCGATGGATTCATTATTTCCCTGGATGTTCTGCGACGGTTCATTGACATCTTATGCGGCTTCGGTCTACCTCGAGTGCGAGGACGGAGCATGCTATAGCTCACTGTTGGCCTCGAAGTCATAGGTGACTCCCACAAGGCCCTTGACTTTACCTGTAACGGAGCTGAGTGGCGCAGTTTTGGCTGTCAAGTTGGTAAAATGGCTTACTTCGGCTAAATGGCTAAGCGAACTACCCATCGAATCGTTCTACTGGACAGATGCCACAATCCTTTTACACTGGCTGTACGGAGACATCACTAGGTGGAAGACGTTCGTGGCCAACAGGGTCGCGATCATTCTGGATAATTCTTCGCCCTCGCAATGGAGGCATTTGGGCACGGCTGAGAATCCAGCGGACTGTGCGACAACAGGACTGTATCCGGGTGAATTGAAGGGCTTTGGCCTATTGTGGCGCGGCCCTGAGTGGCTTACACGCAGTCCGAGTGACTGGCCTTCTATGGAGTTCGAGCAGGTTGACACCAACGATGCCGCACTAGAGGCAAAGGCGAGTTCACCACGCAATCCCGCTTCCGTCGTTTGTTGGCAGATTTTCTACTTTTAGCCGGGCTGTACTAGTCACGGCCTTTGCGTTGCTGTTCAGGCACAATGCTGTCGGCAAGGGGGAGAGGCGCATCGGCCTCCTAGCCATTGAAGAGCTTGACTTTGCTTTAGGGGCTACAGTGCGCATCGTGCAGCGGGAATCGTTCCCAATGGATTTGGCTGCAGAAAGAGAGAGTAAACGGCTACCTGCGCAAAGTAAGCTCTTGAGCTTGTCGCCGATCTTGTCGGAAGGCATCCTGCGAGTGAGGGGGCGACTACGGCATTCTAACTTGCCATATGAGCGCCGGAATCCGATAATACTCCAAAGTTCCCATCATTTCACTGAGCTGGTAATTCGGCACTCGCATGTTTTGACTCTACACGGAGGTGCGCAGCTGACGTTAGCGCATACCCGCCAGCGGTTCTGGATAGTGACAGGAAGGCAGGCAGTTCGAAGAGCTGTGCGGAAATGTGTCCAGTGTTTCCGGGCACAGCCCTCCGCTTCGGCTCAGCTCATGGGAGACTTGCCGCTTCATCGAGTGATCCCCCCTACAAGGGGTACATCGCCGTTTTCATTTGCCTTGCAACAAAGGCAGTGCATTTGGAAGCGGTGACAGGCCTCACCGCGGAACATTTTCTGCTGGCGATGGTCAGATTCACCGGGAGGAGGGAGATGGTTCAGCACCTCTACAGTGACAATGGAACAAACTTTGTGGGTGCGGACAATGTAATGAAGAAGTTCTACTGTAAGCTTCAAGAAGATAACGATCACCTTATAGCCCCCAAGCTCGCGTCACAACGGACAACGTGGCACTTCAACCCTCCGCAGTCGCCCAATTTCGGCGGAGGAGGCTAACGTGAAGTCGGTGAAACATCACCTGAAAAGGATCATTGCGGATCGACGGCTCATCTATGGGGAGTTGACTACGGTACTTATAAGCAAAGAAGCATGTCTCAACTCGCGTCCGCTTTGTCCTCTCACAGCGGACGCAGACGACCTAGAGGTGCTCACGCCGGCTTATTTCTTGATTGGGGACTCGCTGCATGCTCCTCCTGAGTTTCGCCCACAATCTAGGTCCTTCGCGGAGCAGTTCCTGATCCAGAAGGCTATGGTACGTCATTTCTGTAAAACTTGGAGTCGAGCTACACCCGGGGACGGATGCGTTGGTTCGAGTTGTCATGCTTAATACCAAGCAAGGCCGGTTGAAGCGTTTGGTGTCGAAGCTCTGTCTACTGCCGATCCGATCATAAGCGCCCTCAGATACACACCTCAATTATAATTAACTCGCTTCTTGCGCACACTTCTTGCTTACTTTCCCATACTAGATTCTACCCCACAACCAGGATGGACCGGACAAGCGAAGGTTTCTCATGCTAGGTCTAGCATTGGCGGGCGGCATGTTAAGTTTGCTGCTTGTCCCAGTGTGCTGGAAGCTGGGAGCGGGGAGCGGAGAGCAACAGCTGATCGCTCTCGCATTTTGGGACGATGCGTGGGAGAACGAAAGCGGGAAGAGGGCAAAGTCAGTCGTCTGCGGCAAGCGAGAGAACACCCACGTTGAATCTAGCGCGGGACGTCATTTACATATGTGCATAAATTAATAATCGTGAATTCTGTGAATGTATCTATTAGTGTTTTGCATTGCCCGGGTTTTTACATTGCCCCTCTTACAATGACCCTTTGTTAGCCAAATACAAGGGGACACAACTTTACGATTTCATTACTAAAGATTGTATGAAAATTATTTAACTTTTAAATTATTTAAATAAAGCGGTTATCAGCAGTTTTTAGTTTGTTTTGATTATCTCATTTTCGCATGCGCTTTAGAACTGCTGTAGCTCGAAGCATTTGGCTGTTAAGCTGAACCTCTTTGCATTCGGCGTGGTTTTTTTCGAAGTTAATTTGGTTTTGATTTGAACTCGTAATAAAAATTTGAAAATTGAACTGCCCCGATTTATTTATTCTAAAGCAACTAAAAACTCTTAGTTGCTCAACAGTTTGGAGACCCCGACGTGATCACAGCGCGTTTTGAATATTATAATCAGTTAAAAAGTGCCACGGAAACTTGTTGTTTTTGTTGAAATAATCGTGCACTTACATAAATTACATAATGGAGTACGGAGCTGATGACACTTGATCTGCTGCTGCAACAGCCAGATGATGCTGCGGAGACGAGCAGAAATGACTTGTAAAGAAATGGAGGCCCAGCATCAGAATGTCAAGGCTGCGATGCGGACCGAGGACTCAACCATTATTACCCTCGACAAAATGGAGAAGCGTCTGCGTGACTGATTTGCCACGCTTAAGGAGGAACTGGAGAAGGTGCATTATAGTGAATTCGCCTGCTCCCTCATTGCCCCTGTTGCCGATGCCAGCATTCAGCTGTGTCTTTGCCGAGTGGCCGTATTTTTGCGCCCTGCAGACGACGATTGACAGCCATTCTCATTTGACCAATACGGAGAAGCTCAGGTGGCTCATTTCATGTCTGCGGGAGTCAGCATTGGAGACTGTGAGAGCGTTGGAGATTACTGACGCGAATTTTGATGTTGCCTTTGATCTTTTGCGCAACCGGTTCAGTGATCGACAATCAACATTTCAGGCTCACATCAACGAGATTCTGCAGCTAAGGGTAGTCAAGCCGGGATCCGCTGCCACTCTTCGGGAGTGACCCAGGATAGCCATGCTGAAGCAGTGTTCTTGCCAACCGCCAACATTCTCGTTCGTGGCCGATCAGGAGTCTTCCTTCCCCGCCGAGCGCTACTTGATTCCGCCACGCAAGTTCATCACATCACGGCTGGCCAGCCAACTTTAGCTTTATCGGTTAATATTTGCCTGAAGTCTCGCCTCGCCCAGTTGTGGTGTCTCACATCGTAGAGCGTTAACCTGGTCAGAACGTTGATGTCCCCAACTGGAAGGTTCCTGTTAATGTGGTTCTGGCAGATCCGAACTTCCACAGAGCGAAGCCTGTGGATTTGCTGATTGGAACCAGCCTGTTTTTCGATCTTCTTTCAGTTGGTCAAATCCAACTAGGAGACGGTTGCCTCTTGGACAGAATACACGCTTTGGATAAGTAGTTTCTTCAGATGGTTGCACTCCAAGGCAACCTCGTGTAGCGGAAGTTCCACCTGCTACTCTCGCGTGACTGACGAGGTTGAGCTGCAGAGCCTGCACGATCGTCTGGCCATCTATTAGAAAACCAGGGAGTGCAGGAGTGCTGAGGAAAATGCTCGCTCTTACGAGTCGCGTTTCAATGAGCTGAGCAAATTCAACCTGGCCAATGCCGATCGGATTAAGATTACTGATGAACTGATCGGGCAAGGGGCTGCACGATTTTGAGCTCGTACGCGAATTGGAGCAGAAACTAGATAACACTCGCGAGCGTCTCGACCAAGAGGTGGCTCAGCTCGAGAAGGAGCTTATTCGACTGCGTGAAGAGATGACCCATCAACCGCAGGAGTACCAGGATATCGCAGTCTCACTGGATTTGAAAATCGTTGCCTACGACAAGGACTACTATATGGCAGCCAGTGTCAAAGGCAACGTGGAGAACAAGGAGATCGATGCCGCTGGCAAGTTCGTGAAGTATAAGGGCAACTATGAGGTAGCCATTAGAGTTACTTTGTAGAACTGTTTTTGCTCGAAGCTTTTGGTTGTTAAGTTGTACCTCTTTGATTTGATTTAGTTTTAATTTGAACTAGTAATAAAAATTTGGAAATTGAACTGCCCCGATGTATTTATTCTAAAGCAAACTAAAAAGTCTTAGTTGCTCAACAAATCCTATTATTAGCTCCCTTTGACTAAAAGGTTTTTATAGCAATTACCCAACTTAATTGTAAAATATCACTATAATAAAAATGTAATCTGAAAACATCAAAATTAATAATAATTAATAGAAGCTGTTTATTTCTTAACTATTTATTTATATTGTATAATAACTTAATTTTAAGCACTTTTGCAACATAAAAATAAATCTACTTGCATCTCCCCGTTGATCACTTAATGCTCACTTTGTCAAACGAATAAATAAAGTGTAACTAATGCTGAGAGGTTGTTTTTTGGCCAGATAAACAAATTATGGCCCGCCTGCTTACTCATGTATTAGGCTGTAGGCGGTAGATTTAACTTTCATTTTCATTGCAACAAAATTATCAAAAACAATTGCGCATAACTTACAGGGTACACCATCATTTATGGGCCGATTTAAGCATTGAATATTTTTCTTAAATATCGACCTATCAGCTTGATCAGACATGTTTTACAAACGTCAAAACAGTACTCACGGATAATCAACGTTGCTTGCAATACTGTCATATTGCGACGAAATTTCCCTGGACTTTTGATGTCGAAAAATGTCGATATCCACTGGCCACTGAGATCTGCCGATTTATCTTCTCCAGACTTCTTTCTGTGGGTTTATTTGAAGAGCAACGTTTATGCCTGTAATCCTCAAATCCTTGACAAACTAAAGGACAGCATCCGTGCCGAAATGAGAGCCATACCGACCGATATGCTCGAGAGAGTGATGAAAAATGCGGCGAAAAGAGTACATTTGCCAATAAGGTGGAAAATAAATCATATTGTTTTTTAAATTGGCTGAAGGACTCCAGCTTGGCGACCTCGTCATCGTCAAGGACGACCGTTTTCCGCCGTCGCAATGGCTACTATGGCGCGTCGTCGAGCTACACCCGGGGACGGATGCGTTGGTTCGAGTTGTCATGCTTAATACCAAGCAAGGCCGGTTGAAGCGTTTGGTGTCGAAGCTCTGTCCACTGCCGATCCGATCATAAGCGTCCTCACATACACACCTCAATTATAATTAACTCGCTTCTTGCGCACACTTCTTGCTTACTTTCCCATACTAGATTCTACCCCACAACCAGGATGGACCGGACATGCGAAGGTTTCTCATGCTAGTCTAGCATTGGCGGGCGGCATGTTAAGTTTGCTGCTTGTCCCAGTGTGCTGGAAGCTGGGAGCGGGGAGCGGAGAACAACAGCTGATCGCTTTCGCATTTTGGGACGATGCGTGGGAGAACGAAAGCTGGAAGAGGGCAAAGTCAGTCGTCTGCGGCAAGCGAGAGAACACCCACGTTGAATCTAGCGCGGGACGTCATTTACATATGTGCATAAATTAATAATCGTGAATTCTGTGAATGTATCTATTAGTGTTTTGCATTGCCTGGGTTTTTACATTGCCCCTCTTACAATGACCCTTTGTTAGCCAAATACAAGGGGACACAACTTTACGATTTCATTACTAAAGATTGTATGAAAATTATTTAACTTTTAAATTATTTAAATAAAGCGGTTATCAGCAGTTTTTAGTTTGTTTTGATTATCTCATTTTCGCTTGCGCTTTAGAACTGCTGTAGCTCGAAGCTTTTGGCTGTTAAGCTGCACCTCTTTGCATTCGGCGTGGTTTTTTTCGAAGTTAATTTGGTTTTGATTTGAACTCGTAATAAAAATTTGAAAATTGAACTGCCCCGGTTTATTTATTCTAAAGCAACTAAAAACTCTTAGTTGCTCAACAGTTTGGAGACCCCGACGTGATCACAGCGCGTTTTGAATATTATAATCAGTTAAAAAGTGCCACGGAAACTTGTTGTTTTTGTTAAAATAATCGTGCACTTACATAAATTACATAATGGAGTACGGAGCTGATGCCACTTGATCTGCTGCTGCAACAGGCAGATGATGCTGCGGAGACGAGCAGAAATGACTTGTAAAGAAATGGAGGCCCTGCATCAGAATGTCAAGGCTGCGATGCGGACCGAGGACTCAACCATTATTACCCTCGACAAAATGAAGAAGCGTCCACGTGACCGATTTGCCACGCTTTAGGAGGAACTGGAGAAGGTGAATTATAGTGAATTCGCCTGCTCCCTCATTGCCCCTGTTGCCGATGCCAGCATTCAGCTGTGTCTTTGCCGAGTGGCCGTATTTTTGCGCCCTGCAGACGACGATTGACAGCCATTCTCATTTGACCAATACGGAGAAGCACAGGTGGCTCATTTCATGTCTGCGGGAGTCAGCATTGGAGACTGTGAGAGCGTTGGAGATTACTGACGCGAATTTTGATGTTGCCTTTGATCTTTTGCGCAATCGTTTCAGTAATCGACAATCAACATTTCAGGCTCACATCAACGAGATTCTGCAGCTAAGGGTAGTCAAGCCGGGATCCGCTGCCACTCTTCGGGAGTGACCCAGGATAGCCATGCTGAAGCAGTGTTCTTGCCAACCGCCAACATTCTCGTTCGTGGCCGATCAGGAGACTTCCTTCCCCGCCGAGCGCTACTTGATTCCGCCACGCAAGTTCATCACATCACGGCTGGCCAGCCAACTTCAGCTTTATCGGTTAATGTTTGCCTGAAGTCTCACCTATCCAAGTAATCGGTATGTATTGAAGTAGTTGTGGCGTCTCACATCGTAGAGCGTTAACCTGGTCAGAACGTTGATGTCCCTAACTGGAAGGTTCCTGTTAATGTGGTTCTGGCAGATCCGAATTTCCACAGAGTGAAGCGTGTGGATCCAACTAGGAGACGATTTGCCTCTTGGGCAGAATACACGCTTTGGATAGGTACTTTCTTGAGACGGTTTCACTCCAGGCCAACCTCGTGTAGCCGAAGTTCCACCTGCTACTCTCGCGTAACTGAGGAGGTTGAGCTGCAGAACCTGAACGATCGTCTGGCTATCTATTTTGACCGTGTGCGTAACTTGGAGATAGAGAATTCCCGCCTGAGCATCGAGGTGCAGACCACCAGGGACACGGTCACCCACGAGACGAGCAATATCAAGAACATCTGGATGCTACGGCCAGGGATCATGCCCGCTGCGAGATCGTTAGCAAGCGTCTGTGGGAGGAGAACGAGGAGGTGAAGAACCGTCTGCACAAGAAAACCAGGGAGTGCAGGAGTGCTGAGATAAATGCCCGCTTTTACGAGTCGCGTTTCAATGTGCTGAGCAAATTCAACCTGGCCAATGCCGATCGGATTAAGATTACTGATGAACTGATCGGGCAAGGGGGTGCTGCACGATTTTGAGCTCGTACGCGAATTGGAGCAGAAACTAGATAACACTCGCGAGCGTCTCGACCAAGAGGTGGCTCAGCTCGAGAAGGAGCTTATTCGACTGAGCGAAGAGATGACCTATCAACCGCAGGAGTACCAGGATATCGCAGTCTCACTGGATTTGGAAATCGTTGCCTACGATAAGGACTACTATGTGGCAGCCAGTGTCCAAGGCAACGTGGAGAACAAGGAGATCGATGCCGCTGGCAAGTTCGTGAAGTATAAGGGCAACTATGAGGTAGCCATTAGAGTTACTTTGCAGCGCATGCGCTATTGGCAGCTTTGTAGAACTGTTTTTTCTCGAAGTTTTTGGTTGTTAAGTTGTACCTCTTTGCATTCGGCGTAGTTTTTTTGCGGAGTTGATTTAGTTTTAATTTGAACTAGTAATAAAAATTTGGAAATTGAACTGCCCCGATGTATTTATTCTAAAGCAAACTAAAAAGTCTTAGTTGCTCAACAAATCCTATTATTAGATCCCTTTGACTAAAAGGTTTTTATAGCAATTACCCAACTTAATTGTAAAATATCACTGTAATAAAAATGTAATCTGAAAACATCAAAATTAATAATAATTAATAGAAGCTTTTTATTTCTTAACTATTTATTTATATTGTATAATAACTTAATTTAAGGCACTTTCACAACATAAACATTAATCTACTTGCATCAACGGGGAATCACTTAATGCTCACTTTGTCAAACGAATAAATAAAGTGTAACTAATGCTGAGATGTTGTTTTTTGGCTAGATAAACAAATTATGGCCCGCCTGCTTACTCATGTATTAGGCTGTAGGCGGTAGATTTAACTTTCATTTTCATTGCAACAAAATTATCAAAAACAATTGCGCATAACTTACAGGGTACGCCATCATTTATGGGCCGATTAAAGCATTGAATATTTTTCTCAAATATCGACGGATCAGCTTGATCAGACATGTTTTACAAACGTCAAAACAGTGCTCACGGATAATCAACGTTGCTTGCATACTGTCATATTGCGATGAAATTTCCCTGGACTTTTGATGTCGAAAAATGTCGATATCCACTGGCCACTGAGATCTGCCGATTTATCTTCTCCAGACTTCTTTCTGTGGGCTTATTTGAAGAGCAACGTTTATGCCTGTAATCCTCAAATCCTTGACGAACTAAAGGACAGCATCCGTGCCGAAATGAGAGCCATACCGACCGATATGCTCTAGAGAGTGATGAAAAATGCGACGAAAAGAGGACAATTGCCAATAAGGTAGTAAATTAAATCATATTGTTTTTTAAATTGGTCCAAATAAATTGTATCTATCGATAGTAAATTATACTAACTCAAAAATGTGTTTGTTTTGATTTCCTTTAAACTTTAAATCGGCCCATGAAATATGGCGCACCCTGTATTGTGTAATATAGTAAAGTTGTGTTAAGGGTGATTATCCGGCCACTAATGTAACAGGTTAATAGCCCAAAAATTTGTGCCAGAACCAGCTTTAGCAAACTTAGCTACGTCGAATTTTTCTTCGAAAATTGTTCGTCTCCCCACTGCTCGTATTACCGTGCGAAACCCGTACAAGGGTCTGCACACAGTCATAACCGTCCTGGTCGACCATGGATCTTAGGAAACCATTGTCTCAGAACACGTAGTGCAGTCCCTGCATCTGAAACGGACTAGCACCCGAGCATCTATTTTTGGAATGGGTCTTGGCGATTTGAGACAAATTTCGTTCAAATGTGAAACGCGCTACTGATCACGCTGTGGATCTCATGGTGTCTGCTCGTGACTACCATCGGGCGAAGGTTCCCAGCAACAAAGTTGCAAAGATTAAGACAGCGCATCAGGAAACCTCTGCACCCATTTCCAAATACTCGGTTGGAGATAAAATCAACGTGATGTTTAAGGTCCCGATCGATGCAACTTCCAATGACTGGGTCTGCACCGTTGAGGGAGGTCTCAAGGTTTCCGCCTTGCTGCTCTGTTGTCTGACAGGAACAGCTAAAGCTCCAAAGGTGGACAGCACGCACTAGGAAATTATTCTATGGATCGACTGCACCATCGATGTTTTACTGATCAGGAACAAAAAGATAGATATTGCACATATTGCACCAAGCGGTGTACTTTCCGAAGGCTCAGAGCAAGTGCAAGTCAGGAAGGCGAAAATGAAAGCGGTGCCCATACAGAAGAAGACCATCATTTACCGCAGACCTCCTGATAGTCAAGGACGACCGATTCCCGCCGCCACAATGGCTACTGGGTCGCGCCGTCGAAATACGGACGGATGCGTTGGTCGGTCCGGGTTGTAACACTCAAAACCAAGCAAGGCCAGATGAAACGTTCAGTCTCGGAACTTTGTCCACTGTCAATCCGTTCTAAAGCGTGAGAGATGAGAAGAGGGCAAAGGCAGTCGGCTGCGGTAAACGTACCAGAACGCACGTCGCGAGACGCCATTTACGCATTGTACATACTAAACCGATCTAGTAATTAAACGTTTTTATACCCGTTACTCGTAGATTAAAAGGGTATACTAGATTTGTAGAAAGTATGTAACAGATAGAAGGAAGCGTTTCCGACCCTATAAAGTATATATATTCTTGATCAGGATTAATAGATAAGTCGATGGAGGTATGTCCGTCTTTCCGTCCGCCCGCCCGTATGAACGCTGAGATCTCAGGAACTATAGCAGATACAATGTTGAGAATAATCATCAAGATTCTTGAGGTCCATACCGCATCCTGCCACGCCCACTCTAACGCCCACAAATCACGAAAAACTAAAACCGCTAAAATCTCGGGAACTATTCGCGTCCGTCTTAACAGCCATATGTGCCCATATTATAATGTAAAACAAACCAGAGGGAGAGCTATAGTCGTGTGCCGCGACTATAAGATACCCGTTACTGTTTTACACAATTTGAAAATATTCATTTTGCTAATGGAAATTACCCAAGCGCCACCTATTGTCGGAGAAAGCATGTTGAGTAATTGCTAGTGACGTCACAAACCATGTGAGGTCTTATAACCTAAATTTCATCATAAGTAGCGAAATAATGTTCCGATTTAAAAAATCTTTGGGAATTCGAAAGATATTAACAGAAATAAGTTTAAAAAGGTCAAACGAAGGCATTCATAATATTATTATAGACGCCACAGTGTTCCGCGGTTTGTGGGCGTTAGAGTGGGCGTGGACGGATAAAAACTCGTGGGAAGTTGCAGCGGCATCCCTAAAATACGTGTTCTTAAGACTAACTGCCTAGCTCTTTTAGTGGGCGTGGCAGAATGCTGAAATAAACTTACGCTGTCCCGGGACTTCAAGAATCTTCATGCTGAATCTCAACATCCTGAGATCTCAGCGTTCATACGGATGGACGGACGGACGGACGGACTGACGGACATGGCTTAATCGAATTCGCTATTGATCCTGATCAAGAATATATATACTTTGTGGTGTCGGAAACGCTTCCCTCTATCTGATCCAGTGGTGCCGTTGTTTCTGGTAATGAGACTGAATTGCTTTTTTTTTAATTCACAAAACAATGAAAAGCATAATTTTGGTGGCATTCACAGTACCGATATTAGTAGTTCCGCACTCTCAGCACTGTTTTTGAGTCCTATCATAACACCATCTCGCTGATGTCTACACTGTGCTCCTTCTTGACAGTGTTCATCAGTATGGTTCCTCCAGCCTTGGCATCGACATCATTCTCATCGGCGCGCACTTCGTCTATGCGCATACGAAGCTCACCAGCATGTTGCCATCCTCGTATGTCACCCTCCAATAGGCCACCGCCGCGAATGCAGATTGACTTGCATCCACGAACACATGCAACTCGACGGTCCAAACTGCTCCATCCCCAAAATAGTGGCGAGCACATAGAAACTGTCCCTCGGAGTCCATCTCACTGCCCCTCAAAGGATTTGCCAATCTCCTCCGGTGGTGGTTTGTCCCACTGGATCTGCTGCCTCCAGATCTCTCTCAACAACAACGAATCCCAATGGGACGAACGTTGATATCAGCAGGCTAAAACACTCCCTCATTGTATGGAGGCATAATTCGAATCCAGCCTCCGCATGTATCTCCTTCACTTGGGTAGATACCGTAATAGCTTTGCTCTCTGTAGCGAAACTTTCCACATGGTCAGCGCTCTGCACTCGGCGAACGTCATTACGTTCATCTCGTGCACCTCCGGGTCTCGATCGTCGTTGCCATATCTCCAAAGGAATCGTTGGGAACAACGATTCTCGGGTCGGATCAGCACTTGGTGGAACATCTCCAAGGATATTTAAGGCTTAGACCGCTTGTCAAGCGCAGAATTCAGTAAGGTTCCTCCTTGGCTGCAGCATCGAACACAAGCCTGACATTACCAGGCTTGTTCGGGTTTTCGACACCAACATAGTCGTTCTTCCATAGTAAGCCCGTCTGGTAGCGATGCCCCACTTTCACTGTTCGACCTGTGACCTGTGACGCGAGCTTCACACCAAAGCTTTCCATCTCGAAGTAGTCCTTCCCCATCTGATCCATCGTATTATCCATTGACACGGCTTGTAGGAAGGAAATGATTCAGTCCGATGACCAACTTAGACACCGCGTTGATGTAGGACTTCATCGGCAGACTCGCATCCTTATGCACGCCCTGGACATCTTGTCGGCCTAACGTCTGCATCGGCAGACTCAGGCTTGAAACGGCGTACACGTTCCTCAAAGCGTGGCGAGTGCCTCCGCTGGCTGCGGGGCCCTTCTGTACTGGCTGTTTCTGGGGACAGCCAAGTGCTGGCTCATCTCGTGGTCCCTATAACCACCTTGCTTTGAAGGCCAACTGTCCGGGCTGCGTCTGGTAACTGCTGACTGCTGGTTTCCTGCCTCCTCGCTGCGCCAGCCATCTCGTACCTCGTCCGCCCCATGTAGCAGACGGTGATGCAACCTGCGGCATCCATTGATCTGGCACTCACCATGCACATCGCAGGATCTGGTCGTATGTCCACTCCGTAAGCATGTGAAGCAGAGCCGATGCCTCTTTACCATGCTCCACCTGCCCGGTGGAGAAGCTTCAAAGAACTCCCTGCAGCTCGTCGACATGTTGCCCTCCACAGATTGGACAACCTCCATGCCGATCATCCTGGTGATCGCATCCCTTCTGATCGACGCTCGCATGCTGATCTCGACGACTCGGCTCCTTTCCCTCGACGTCCAAAATCGTACACACGACGCTGTTTCCACGTCGTGGATGATCTACGCAGCACTTGTAGCACACAGTGCCACAGTGCTCTCTATGATCTCTACCCTACGTGATGTTAATCTGCTCCCTTTGGTTAACTCCCGTGAAATCGCAGATAAGTTCAGCAAGATTCAATCTTTGCCCGGCATAGCTGTGGTTGAGATCAAACTCCACCAATCTCTTAATTTTGTCAAGGGCCCCATTTATGTTCCTGAAACACAAATTGTCGAAGAGCTGAAGTCACAAAATGTTCACAATAACCTCTCCCCTCACCACCCTGCACTCGCATTTTTTACGCAAGCTGTAGCGCCGATCATCCAGCCTCCTTAGCAACATACCCAAAATATTAGAACCAGAGAGAACTTCTCTGCATAAAAGTAAGCAGAAATAGAGCTTCCGTGAAGCCCGCATCATTTTACAGCAACAACAAAAAACAAGAACAACGAATCGACTACCTTCGCTTCTATCGCCAGCGCAGCATCCACTCCGTTTACAACCGCCCGAAACCAAAACACGATATCCTCGAAACCAACAACAAACACCTTAACCCCGAGGCCCGATAGTGTAACCAACTCTATCTCTCCCACCAATATGCCAATCTCATCTCTCCCAAATTCATACAAATCTTTTCTCTCCGCTGCACCCGACACACAAGACCCGAGTTCTTTTATCAGCCCAATCGATCGCTCGCGGTCGAATTTTATTAAAGCACCCCAAATCACTGTACCTAAATCCCCAACCAACTCTAACGTCTTAAATAATATATCCGACTCCGATTCATCAAACGAAACATTGGATTCATAGTCCAGTTTTTTCATTTGCATTTACTAACTCTAACATAAATCTTATTGTTTAAGTTTAATCTATGCCAATTAAAATATTACAATAGAATATAAACGGAATTTTAACAGCTATTACGAACTTTCAATATTAATAAAAGATTTATCCAATGACATTTTATGTTTACAAGAAACAAATCTGCCCTATAACTTTATACACTTTGT